TCACACAGTAACTCGTGTAGGTGTGATTTATAGGCACCCAGGACAAATTGAAGAGTTAGATAATCTACTAGTTGAGGAAATAGCTAAAATGACAATGAAGGGGGAAGTTATCATCATGGGTGACTTTAATCTTCCTGGTGTAAATTGGAAAACAAAATTAGCTACTTGTGCCAGGAGCACACATATTCTAAACTCCCTACTGGGATTGTCTCTAAAACAAGTTGTTGAGGAGCCAACTCATAAAGAGACCATACTAGATTTAGTGTTAACAAATGGAGATTTGGTATCAGATATTACTGTAGGTGAAAATTTAGGTTCTAGTGATCATCAGTCAGTGTGGTTTAATATAAGAAGAGTGACTGAGTCACACCACACAAAAACAAAAGTTTTAGACTTTAGAAAAACAGACTTTTCTAAAATTAGAATATGGGTAGAAGAGTCATTATCAGACTGGAGCATTTTAAATGGAGACCAAGAGAAATGGGATTATTTAAAAGTTGCACTATTGAGGCAACAGAAAATTGCATTAGGCTTGTCAGTAAAAGCAAAAAATTACAGAAACCACTGTGGTACTCCACATATGTGGCCAAAATAGTTAAAAACAAAAAGTTAGCATTTAGGAATTATAAAAAACCCAGAGTGAGGAAGACAAAATGATCTATAAGATTAGGCAGAAAGAGGCTAAGCAAGTTATAAGAGCTTCCAAATCACACACAGAAGAGAAAATAGCACAGTCAGTAAAAAAGGGGGACAAAACATTTTTAGATACATAAATGAGAAAAGAAAAGTAAAACAAGGATTAGTTAGATTAAAAACAAAAGAAGGAAGGTATGTAGAAGAGGATAAAGGTCTAGCTGACTGCCTCAATTAATATTTTTGTTCTGTATTTACAGATGAAAATGAAGGAAAGGGACCTCAGTTGAGAAAAAGGATAAATTAGTCATTTATTACACGTGAGTTTACAGAGGAAGAGGTTCTATTTCAACTGTCAAAAGTAAAGACAAATAAGTCAATGGGACCTGATGGAATACACCCAAAGCTATTAAAAGAGCTTAGTGGTGTACTAGCAAAACCATTAACAGATTTATTTAACCAATCATTGTTAACAGGAGTAGTCCCAGAAGATTGGAAGTTAGCAAATGTTGTGCCCATTTACAAGAAAGATAATAGGGAGGAGTTGGGCAACTATAGGCCAGTAAGCCTTGCTTCAGTAGTGGGGAAAGTGATGGAAACCATGTTAAAGGATAGGATTGATGAACATCTAAAAACACATGGATTTCAAGATATGATAGAAACATTTAAATATATAAAGGGAATCAGCACAGTAAAGGAGGAGACTATATTTAATTAGAGGGACAAAGGTTTAAAAATAATATCAGGAAGTATTACTTTACTGAGAGGGTAGTGGATGCATGGAATAGCCTTCCAGCTGAAGTGGTAGAGGTTAACAAAGTAAAGGAGTTTAAGCATGCGTGGGATAGGCATAAGGCTATCCTAACTATAAGATAAGACTAGGGACTAATGAAAGTATTTAGAAAATTGGGCAGACTAGATGGGCCGAATGGTTCTTATCTGCCGTCACATTCTATGTTTCTATGTTTCTATTGCAGGAGGAGACCTAGCCAATGTCTAGGGAGCCTCAACACTGTAAGGTAAGTAAAAAAGGCTTTTTTCCTAATGCGATTTGGCGTTTTATCATGTAGCGGCTGGCAAGAACTTGCTAGCCAGACGCCAAAAAAATAAGTTAATAAAAAGGGAAGAAAATATCAGAGGGTAGTCAATATGTACGTTAGTATAAGGAAGATTGGTGGAATATCTACTAAACGGTAAGCAACCAGTGGCTGCTCACTTTAACTATAAACTTATGATTAGGCAGCTATTCCCGTGGGAATGGGGCCTGTTAAAGACCTGGTAGGGACTTGGCACAGGTTGCCCCACCAATAGGCATCCATTTGGGGCTTAAAATTAAATAATGGGGAGATGGACATGTCACTGTTCACTCCCCTTCCCCTCCTGTGGCCAGCACGAGGTAGCTCTATACAAAAATGTAAAGAACTTTATAAAGTCTTTCTAACATGTTGAACTGCCATTATAGCATTTTAAGTGGTTGACTTGTAAGCCAACGCTTTGACAGGCAAATCTCATAAGATTTGCATTGGAATTTTTCATAAAGGCTTTTGCTGTCCTGAAAGCTCTGTCTGCACAGTGCCCTTGCTGGACTCACATGGAGGGCAAGGGAGTGCATGAAGACCCTATCACAGCTGGACCACGGCTGGTGCCAGGACCCCTTCCAGGTCTTTTACAGACACCATTCAAATGTAATTTTAAGCATCAAGGTCTAGATTTCAACCAAAATTCAGGCTCATTCATAGCTGCTCTGCAAAATCCTTACATTGTTACATACTGCAGAAAATGTTGGGATTTTGCGGTCCAAATTTCCCCATACTGCAATGAATGGCTTTCCCCTTTCAATGTAGTACAAGGACTAGAGTTTACCAACAGAAAAATGTTGGGATAATGCTTAGAAACTTGTAAAGGTTTTGTGTTATTTTTTCAACACAAACCTTCTGGTGGAATAAACAGTTTGCAGAGATTAGACAGTACTAGAGGAGATAATTACACTGAGACATAAACAATCCAATGTGTTTTCATGTAAATTTAATCCAATTTATAAATAAATTAGTGAACTAGTGAATTAGTGAACTAGAAAAGGTATTTCACACATAAGAAAAATCATGTTTAATATCATGTGTGATATAAAAAAGGGGAATAAATAAAAGTTATATGTAAAGCTCTGTGCTCAGTGTTATATCGGAGATATACTCTTTGTAATTCCCTAAGAGGAATACAACACAATAATAAGGCAAACAGTGACAAAATAGGTGTAGGTTAAACTAAGAAATTAAAACTGTGACTTATTTGTCTAGTATAACAAAGTTTATTGCTGCCTGCAGACTTAAAAAACACGCTTTATGTGTGTGGAGCCTTTTAGATTTGTGACAGTTTCTAATCATGTTAATTTTAAAAGAAATCAGTACTTGACACATTATTGGAAGCAGAAACATCTCCCCAGCTGTCAATCAGATAGCCAGAGACATTTTCTTCCACTTCTGTTAGCTCTGCAGAGCTGATGTAACTGGCGTGCCCGCTGTGCCAGCTCCTGCCTTCTCCCTTCTCAATAAGCTCTTTTACAGCTAACTTAGAAGTATTGGAAAGCTGGGATTGCAAGCAGATGCTTCTTAAAGAACAGCTTCTGGTTGCAGTATTCCCCAGCAATGACTGAAAGTCTGTGCTGTGGAATAACAAGAGATCTGCAGCTTTTGCAAACTGTTTATATATATGTATGTATCAAAAGTGACCTCGCCAATGGTATTTGGAGGGGCCTGTTTGCCGGCATTCAAACACGTGGTGACCGCCATCTTGTTTAGTTGAATGCATCCAGCGGTGTTTGGTCGTCAAGTGCATGGAACTTAAATCGGACACTCGATGGCGCGAACACCGCTAAACTTCCATGGATGTTCGGCTATTTGAACGGGAGTCGAACGGTGTTCAGTAAAAAGAAACTCACAAACAAGAGACAAACACTGACTTTATCCTTCGAATCCCCGAAGTAGACCGGCCACACAGCCTGATTCTCTGGTACTATTTTTGGCATGGGACCATGCATGCGGTTGGTCAAAATATGACTTCCAAAGAATTCTTGAACCCCTGAACTGATCTGGGTGATTTATGGATATGTTGGTCTCCCAGATCAGGGCTCTCATGGGATGTAACAATTGTGGGGATATCATGTGTTTTTGGGTACTTTTGAGGTTTTGTAAAATATGTGTTTTTTCTGCTAGGAGATAATTGAATTGATAGAGTATCTGACTCAATTATCTCCCAGGCAGAGGGGAGGGATTGTATGTTTGTTATGGGAGTGTCCTGCATTTGATTACTGTTCTTATTGGTCTGTGTCTTTGTGTTGGAGTCCCCAACAAGGTCCATGTGAGTGTACCCTTTGCATGGGGATTGTCATAAAAGGCCAGAGTGGTACCATTAAAATTGAGTTCCTGCTTACCCTCAACATAGAGTCTCATCTTATGTGTGGGGGAAACGGCTGTATCTACCCTGGGAATTGCTAAATCACAATACTCTCTTGGGATCATAATCACTAGCTCTTTTAAGAGCTGTTCCTGCTATGCTCTCTGGAGTAGGAGAGGTCTGCCCACTGGAAGCTGGATCCTGATCTTGGGTCCAGGGTGGGTGGATGACAGCGAGTTCCCAGCCAAGCTGTAACGCTGGACATGTGGACTACAGTGCTTATGGTGTCTGGTGGAGTGCTTTGAGTTCTCGGTGAGCACTAGGAGCATCGACTGACGGAGGCACCCGGTCGGGGTGCCAGGCGGTCCGTTACAATATACTAATGATAGTAATAAATAATGATTTAAAAAAAAAAAACGGTTGGCAATGGAGTGTTCCTTTAATTCGTGAAAATGGAATCCTGAACATGGGTTTTATTCTGATTACATTTAAAGCCAATTATTAACCATTTTTAAAATGTAGCATGTTGCAATTTTGATTATGGTTTGCTACCTCAGTACAAATGTGAAGTTGCTGTTTTTTTAATATACAGCCCTTCATTTACTAACTCAGTCACAAATACAGAATTAAGTTCCTCATTCACACCAGTGTTAGCCTCTTCTGCTTCTGCTAAAAGGCCAATCTGGATATCTATTTCCCTTTCAATATTACAACTTTCCATCGGTAATGGTAGAGGCTAACAGTGATATACAACTTGTAGTAGATACATGGAATACAATAGTCTTCCGGTGGAAGAGGGAAAGGCTAAAAGTAATGTAGAAAGGGTAGTAGATAATTCAAACTTCAGTGAAGAAAGTTACTCTGGCGCAAAATTTTGTGCAAATGCATAGACAGTGTTGTTAGCACCTAAAAAGTGCCAGTGCAATAAAAATGATGTATATTTAACTTAAAATTTATTGCAAATACGTACAATTTTGGGTTAGGAGCATATAAATAAATAAAAGTAATAGAGAAATAAAGGACACTTATAGTGTAGTATTTAATACAAATAAAATAATTTAAAAACAAAGACAGGCACAAAGGAACTGCACAATATGGATTGTGCTAAAATAGCTTTGCCCTGAGAGGGCCACTTATCTCCAGAAAGTCCCCTTCATCAAGATCCAATGTATTTCCAAATCCTCTGTGTGAGATAGATCATGGATTGAAGGGTGGATGGAGCAAGATTTTTTCTTGGCCGAATTTCAAGAGTTACCTGTATATACCAAATGTGTGACACATATTCTCTATCTTTATAGACCTTTTCAAGAGCCCTTTTATTATTTTTTATCTTTCAGGCAGCTGTTTAGTAGATAGCTCCACAATTTAACACCTCTATGTGCAGTCATTTAGACAGCCACTAGAAGTGCTTCCTATTTCAGTGCTGCATGGTGTGTGGCACTTGCATTCAGCGTCTTCATGCTCCTATAGGAAAGCATTGGATTGGCTGAGATCATAAAGATTAATGATCTCAGGCATGGATGGGGGCCAACTGGGTTGAGACCAGCGAGGTGGTGGAAAAAAGGCAAAAAAGGGAATTTAAAAAATGTTCTATAACTATTAAATGCACATGGAAATAGCCCTCTCGTTTAATAAATTATAGAATGATAAGGGAGTTCCATTAAATCTACATACTTTAACTTTAGAAAGCATTCATTTTATGTAAAGGTAAGCATTAATTTCTCATAACCACCAAAATAGTTGCTGTTTTATTAAACGATATTGTGTCTTCTGATCGAAGGTCCATTTCACATTTATACAGTGATACCCCTGTTGGGAAATACATTAAAGGTTGATAGGTTTTTTTTTCTAGCATTTTTCTACAATATTTTAATGTGATTTTTTTCTAGAAATCATTAAAGCTGTTTTTTAAGTGTGCTTTTTCAGTTCATTTGCTGAAAATATATATCTAGAAACTTTTAATAATGTATTAAGAATAATGCCAGTGGAGACATCATAAACTATGAGACTGAAGACCAAATTGTAGTGGCTATTAAATTAACATATTGTCTTTATCTCTACAGTTCCTTTCCTGGTAGGTCAGTAAATGTGGACGAATTAAGGGCATAACCCAAAACATTGTAACTCCCATCAGTCTTGGGACACCTTCTGGCTCTACCCAGAGACAAACTGATCCTTTGTTGCACAGTGTCAATCAGAACCACGTATTCTAGTTTTTATTGCACATTGTGTCTTCACCTCTTCGTTACTGTATGACACCGTGTAGCACTCAACAACCAGAGCAGCACTAGAACATATGCATGTTTTTCTTTTCCCATAACTCCTGGTTTGTCAGGAAACTGAGAGACACTGATCGCTGTGACCAGAGAGTGACTCTGTTGATATCATGACAGCCAAAACATCTATGTTGTGGTTCTATCCTAACAAATAGGCAAATGTGTGCATATGGAGCGTATCCCTATTTCTAGCCTGAGCCCTCGCTTTGGAAAGTCATGTAATATAAACTATCCAGGACCCTGAATCAGGTAGTTGGAGAAAATAATACTATTTTTAGTCTTGTAGGTTAGTATGTTATAACTGATTATTATCTACCTCCATAACGTTTGGCCTTGCAATATTAAATATTTTAACACTTTATACTGAATGATCATTTTCATCAATTTACTAGTGCATAAACTCTTTTTCCTACAATGTAAATGATTGACAGTGCTTTCAAAATTATATTTCATAATTTAAGTACTATTTTACAGACATTTACAGGGTTATTCTCTAAACTCCAAATTTTCACAAATCCAATCCAAACGGAAAAACTGAGATAAACAAAAATGAATCTGGAAAAATGCTCGAACTCGGCCATAGTTACAACTTGGTCATTTTTACCTCACTCGTTACTCAGATCTAGTGTATAACCCTGTTAGTGAAACAGGTTTAAAGCTATGCAAAGCTGGATTTGCCAGCAGTATTGTTTCATCTGCATTCATGATGTTCTTTTGAGAATGAAGTGTATGTATTTTGATGTAAACTTGTTTTCACTCTCTTTTCTCTTTGTCTGCGGTTACAGAACCAAACCCGGACAACTTCTTTTTCCAGGTTCAAGCCCTCTGCCATTCTCATTATTTCTTGAGAAGATGGTTTGCTTTGCTCTCCAAAATGAGACTCCAATGCTTCCTTGGCAGCAATGCTATAAGAATGGGAAGAGAGGAAACAAAATAAAGGCAGGTCTTAAAATTAGGATTCCCAGCAAGCTGTTGTTTAAAAGGTAAGTGCCATTTCTCCGGAATTTATGCTAATAGTTAAATTATTGAAAATCACCCATAACTTGTGTTCCTTAATAACACTGATTGTCAGGGATCCAAGATGGAGGCATACACCTCCAGAATAAAAATGCATATTTCTATTTTTCACACCATACTTATACATAATTGTTAAAGGATCACTATAGGGTCAGGAAAACAAAAAGGTATTCCAGACCCTATAGTGTTAAAACCACCATCTAGCTCCCCTGGGCCCCTCATGCCTGCATAAATATATTAAAAATCTTACTGTATTCAAGCCTGAAGCTGTAACTCAGCATCCTGTTAGACTCAGAAAAACAAGTAGTCTGCTGACATAATCAGAAGTGGTAACCTGATCCAATCACAATGCTTCCCCATAGGATTGGCTGAGACTAATAGACAAAGAGGCAGATCAGGGGCAGAGCCAGCATGATTCAAACACAGCCCTGGTCAATCAGCATCTCCTCATAGAGATTAATTGAATGAATGAATCTCTATGAGGAAAGTTCAGTGTCTGCATGCAGAGGGAAAAGATACTGAATGTTTGGATGCATTTTAGGCAGCCATGACCCAGGAAGGATCTCTAACAGCCACATGAGGAGTGGCCAGTGAAGTTATCACTGGGCTGTAATGTAAACACTGCATTTTCTATGAAAAGACAGTGCTTACAGCAAAAAGTCTGAAGGTAATGATTATACTCGCCAGAAAACATTCAATAAGATTTAGTTGTTCTGGTGACTATAGTGTCCCTTTAAATATAGGGATATATAAAAAATATTCTTTAGAAATCCTGGGAAGTTAAAGTTCCACTTTAAAGTTTTATGGTCCTTTGATTATATATCCATTTCCTCTCAACTCTTTAAATATTATTACGTTTACTCCTCTGAAAGAATGCTTTCTAAAGTAAGTAATAATTTTGCCATTACTGAATACCACCGGTTATTTATGGTATTACTTACAAGCTCCTGTGATTTATCAGTTTTGATCAGTACCTGACTTACTAATGCCATAACTTTGTAGTTGTTAATCATGCTTTAACAACTCAATTTTTTCAATTTAATTATAGTTTAGTTTTTTTCTCATTAACAACCATTCTACTCTACTGTGGTAATACAAACCCATTCAGCTATCAGTATAGTATAAAATGGGCTCACATACCTCTGTTATAGATGCATAGAATAAAAGTAAATTATTTCACCTATGTGTAGTAGTTCTTCAAAGTCATGCCCATTAGACTTTAACATTACGGCACTTAGGACTTTCTGACATAATTTGTTTTCTCAAATGAGCCCTATTTTTCGGTTCTATATTTTGATTGTAGGAAGGTCAGTATTAAATGTGGATGTAAGTAGCAACTCCACATTCCAGAATGCATTGTAATACTTTCACTTTATTGAAATGGCTGCAACTGCAACAGGACTATGTGGGATGCATTGGCATCTAACCTCTGGCAAAATAAATAACCTTTGATAATAGCCTACTAAATAAAAAAATGATAAGAACCTACTGCACTGTGGTTACTTAGATACTCTGTTCACTTATAAACACACATGCTTACAAGAAGCTTATAAGTTAGTATTGCATAAGACCATAGTTGATTATCACAATATAAAAATTGCTACATAATTGAGTTTGCTAAACACCAGATATATGGTGTGCTTGTAGAAGACTACAGTCATGTTTCTGTAATACACTGATCAGCCACAACATTAAAACCACCTGCCTAATATCATGTAGGTCCACCTTGTGCTGCCAAAACAGACATGATGCATCGAGGAATGGTCTCCACAAGACCTCTGAACATGTCTTGGTGCCAGATATCACATGATAGTAGCAGTAGATCCTTTAAGCACTGCACATTGAGATGGGGCCTCCTTGAATCGAATTTGTTGTAGCAGCACATCCCACAGATGCTCAACTGAATTGAGATCTTGGGAATTTGGAGGCCAAGGTAACATATTTAACTCTTTGTAATGTTTCTCAAACCATTCCTGAACAATTTATGCAGTGTGGCAGGGTGCATTATCCTGCTGAAAGAGGCCACTGACAACAAAGAACACCATTGCCATGAAGGGGCGTACTTGGTCTGCAACAATCTCTAGGTAGGCGTTATGTGTCAAAGTAATATCCACATGAATGCCAGTACCCAAGGTTTCCCAGCAGGACATTGTCAGAGCATAACACTGCCTCTGCTGGACTGCATTATTTCCCATATTCACCAAACTGCATTGCACTGTGTGTTCTGACACCTTTCCACCATGGCCACCATTAAGTCTTTTAGCAGTTTAAGCTTTGCTCCCCACGTACATCAATGAGTCTTGGGCACTCATGACCTTGATGCCAGCCCACCGGCTGTCCTTCCCTACACCACTATTGGTAGGTACCATCCACTGCATACTGGGAACACCCCCCAAAAGACTTGATGTTTTGGAGATACACTAACCCTGTCATTTAGCCATCACTATTTAGCCTTTGTCAAAGTCACTCAGGTCTTTTCATTTGCCCATTTTTCCTGTTGAAAACACATGAAATTCAAGAACTGACTGTTTACTTGTTGTCTAAGATATCCCCCACCCCCAATATAGATGCTGTTGTAACAATATCATCAATGTTATTAACTTCATCTGTCAGTGGTTTTAGTTCTGTGGCTGATCAGTGTACGTAAAGAACAAACATATGTAGCTCAGTAAGATGAACAATTACAATAATAATAAGGCCAGCTTTAAACATTAGCTATTCAATATGAGGTTAAAAATATTTTTTTCTCACTAACCTTATTGTTGTTCTGCGTTTCCTTTTTCGTTCATTACCACCAATTTTTTCATTGTATAAAGCTGTTCAAAAGCAACATAATATTGAAGTACATAAATATTTATTTGTAAATAGAAAAAAAAATGATTATTAACTAGCAATCAGAACTGCACATTGTCTTTGAAGTCATGGCAATAATTAAATAATCCAGAAGTAATCAAATAATTTTTTTTAAGGAAAAGTGTATGATATACCAACAATAACAGCAATTCTGGAAACTGTTTAGGGCATTTTGCTTGAAGTCTCAGTATTGTGAAGAGTGTTTGAGCATAAAAATAATAAAATGACGGGTCATGTTTCACAACAAGAGTGTAGATGGTTATAACAAAAAATTCAAATATCAAAGAAAGTTGCGGTGGGAGCAAAATGTGATAAAACCTCCCACTGATTAATGCAAATTAAAAATCTACTGCTGTGCATCATTTACATATTACAAATCATAGTTTTTCTTGAAGATAGCATTTCTGAGAAGTCATGTTTCCTTAATTCTCACAAAATGCCCTGCTGGATATGCAAATGAACACAGACATGAATAGTATTTCATTCTTAACCTTGAACCTCTGCACCTTTAGCAATGGAGCGCTGCTTTAAACACACATCTCTATATTAGAGCATTGATTCTGATGCAAACTTCAAAGCTCAAGATGATAAGAGCATAATATAATGCGTGGATATCTTCAAACACAGACCTCGAGATTTGGCAAGTCTGCTGGCAAATATACTCTGCTTCTTTCCACTAACTTTTCTGCCTTCTTCTTTACATTATCAAATTTAATTAACAATAAGGCTTTTCATGGTGATGCCATTTTAATCTATTCTTTATACAGTTAAAGTTAACTGGTAAGGTGCCATAATTTCTAATGATGCACTCTCGATATCATGGGGGGAGGGGGAGGAGGTGGGTTCTGTCACATTGACCAGAGCTTGAGCTAATCTTGGTCATCTCTTGCAGTTGGTAAGTCTGTCATATAGAACGTGCTTCATTATTTGTATTGCAGCCACACTACATTATTCAGTAAAAGCTGAATGTACTGAATGGGGCAAAAACTTGTTCTTCTTTGTATCTTGCAATCAGTTTATAATAAAAAATATGGTAACAATCTTGATAAGGCAATGAATACCTCCAACTTGTTCGGCTTCATCCAACCATTTTGATAGTATGGATTTCAGTTTGCATGCGTTTTTAAAGCTTAACTGCAGGTTTTCAAAACGGCATATTGTTGTTTGGCTGAATTCCGAGCCGTGTACTGCTGCAAGAGCTTCACCGACATTAGTCTGTGTGTAGCCTATAAAAATAAAATGATGTAGTTGACATGTCAACATATTATTGTTTAAGATTTTAACAGCATGCACTTGCACTGACCTGACATTTTCTCCCAGTAGTGTAAAGGATAATGATTTACATTCTAAGGCTTATTGAGCACACCATCAATGACTAAGCCATTATTTATATTTGAAATATATTTATATAGGGTTTTATCATTTTCTCAAGAACAAAGGTCCACCCTATAGCAGTCCTCAAAGCTTATTCCAGCTTTAAAATCCTTCCTAACAATATAAACCTGTTGAAGCAACAGAATAAACCCATAAATTATCCCTCTGAAATAGATACCTCTTAATATCCCTGCCTTATACATCACTTATAATTAATCCCTGCATAACCCTAGACATTTTAAAATGTTAACATTATAAACTGTATTTATTTTCTCAAGAACAAATGTCCACCCCATACCATTCCTCAAAGCTTATCCCAGATTTAAAATCCTTCCTATCATTATAAACCTGCAAAGCTGTAAACATTTTAAAATGGTAGCATTATAAACTGTAAAGCTCTTCTCTTTTTAAAGGGTCACTATAGTTACCAAAACAACTTTAGGTTAATTACGTAGTTTTGGTGTATAGAACATGCCCCTCCAGCCTCACTGCTCAATTCTCTGTCTTTTAGGAGTTAAATAACTTTGTTTATGAACCCTAGTCACACCACCCTGCATGTGACTTGCACAGCCTTCCATAAACACTTCCTATAAAGAGTCATCTAAAGTGAATCCTTCCTTTATTGCAAGTTCTGTTTAATTTAGATTTTATTATCCCTTGCTATCTCAATAGCTTGCTAGACACTGCAAGAGCCTCCTGTATGTGATTAAAGTTCAATTTACAAAGAAAGAAATACAATTGCTTAAGGTAAATTACATCTGATTGAAAGTGAAACCAGCTTTTTTTTCATGCAGGCTGTGTCAGTCAGAGTCAGAGGAGGTGTGACAAGGGCTGCATAAACAGAAACAAAGTGATTTAACTCCTAAAAGGCAGCCAATTGAGTAGTGAAACCTGAGAGGCATGATCTATACACTAAAACTGCTTCATTAAGCTAAAGTTGTTTAGGTGACTTTAGTGTCCCTTTAATGCAGCACTATCACATCATAGCTTAGATGACAGCCAGCATTCTGAACACCAACCATTCAGATGTTTATATTTTTAATGGGATTCCACACAGGCATGCATTGTGTATGAAAGGCAGCATTTCGGAAAGCTGATCATTTTATAAAACCTAATTGTGCAGCATTTTCCTAATGCACAACTTACCACTTAAACCATAGGTCACATTAGATTTATTAGATTTTATGTTCTATGAGTAGTTTGTTTAATTTCATTAGTTTTGTCCTAGTATAAAACTGCAAAATAATTAATTTGCAATAGATGTCATACCATCATTTACTGTAAAATTAAAATGTATACAATATATAAATAACTCCCAAAAAGGAAAATAGGGAAAAGGGAAATGTGATTTGTGTTTTCCCTAAATGGCATTCTATATAAGACATTGTTTATCCCTTTTAGTACTTCTTTTTATTTGCAAATAGCAAAGTTTGACAATTAACCCCTTAAGGACACAACATCTGGAATAAAAGGCAATCATGACAGAATATTTCCGTCATGTGTCCTTAATGTGTTCTGATCATGTCTGCATGAGCTGCACCCAATATCAAGATCGTAATGCGAAGAATAACTTGCATTCAAACTGTAATACAGTATATAGTTTCTCAGGCTTGTGCCTGAATACATTGTTAACAATGCTTTATGCGGTTTATTTTGTTTTGTTTCAATATGTAATATATTTTGATAAATTAGATTTACAAAATCAGAGTACTGCTCAATAATGTGTTATGTGTTCTGTAATGATTGGCTTTGTACATATTTGTGTATTTTGTATTAAAAACTGTAAATCAAAAAAAATAAAATAAAAACAAAAAAAACATAAATTTCATTATATCAGTAAAACCCAGGCTTGGCCATTTGTTTAGCAAAGCTGAAAATTATACAAGAATGGCAGTTGTTTTAGAATAATTAAACCTATGTCCCTGCATTATTCCAAGTTGTGAAACGGTATTGAATTCTTTAAATGTTTTGTTAATTTTTGATCTGATGACAAATTCATGTAGTCTGTATTGCAGTTTGCTCAGAACATCAAGCCTCCTATGAGCAGAGACTGTTGTGTTACTATGTAAATGTAGCTACATTAAATGGACACTACCAGTACCATAACCACTACAATGGGGTTTATAGCTTATGATGCCATGAGTCCTCTTGCTCTGTCCAATGACATGATGAGCTTTCTGACAATATGCCAATGGTTTGACATTTACGTGGATTTTTCGGTCATCTGTGATCCTTTCAATCTGCACTGGTAAACTAGAGTAGATGTTCGTACTTTACATTAGCAAACCAACTCTGCACATTATTATTCTTTGGCTGAGAGTGATAACTGACACGTCTACAAATGCAACTACATATTCTCCACTAGGCCAACTAGGTTTGGACCTACTGCAGCAAAACGGTTGCTGATTTTTTAGTATTATTTTATTATCAGGTGTCTTTTTCCCATAACAGCTGCCTGGTTTCTTTCACATTGTACTAGGTGAGTGGCAACTCTGCTACTCTCAAATGCTCTCATCTTCTCTGCAAGGCCTCCGGACTCCCTGTTTCCTTCTAGAGGTTTACACAGTAACCGGGGCAATCAGCAGAGAGTATCTGTGTAAAGCAGATGGTAATGTGGGGTTACTATAGTGAGACCATGCCTCCTGGGTATTTAACCTTGTAGATTGTAGGCTGGGGATGCATGGATGTAAATTCAAGTCAGTTTGATTCCCTGCCTGTCATCCTGAACACTTGTGAAGCAAGCAGAAAAAAGCATTTGCATCATGGTGTTTTAATCTCCTAAATTCTCTTAGACAGGAGAGGCAGTCTTTCTCCTCTCTAAGGACATCTCTTCCCTCTAGACACCTTCTTGTCCTCTCCAGTCTCAAAACAAATGGAAGTAAACTGGAGGAAACAAGGACAATGTCACTTTGTGCATACATAGCTCTCTTACCCACTCAATGGACACTAAAAATAAACACTTCTTGATTTATAAATCAGAATAAAAATTTAATTTGATAGCACATCCATACTTTTTCTGTTGGACTGACTTTGTTTTATTCAAATCCTGAAAACAGGTCAACATCATCACAACTGCAGTCCAGACAGCAACCGATATTTTTATACATAACATTTGGAAAACAAAAACATACCTAACTTAATTCTCCTGACTTTAAACTGGTTAGCAAACTTTTCCAACTCCCTAATTTCTGGAGAATCCATGTCAATTGGTTCTTCAATTGGTTTATTTTTTCTTCGGAACTCCTGCTTGAAGTCTGCAGTGGTTAGGTCCTCTCCAAGGAGAGATTGATGCACAGGAGCAAATCCATGTCCCAGCGCACAAGAGCTAGCACTCATAAGGCAAGGAGGCAGACTACCTGCATGGACTCCTAAAAACAAAAGGTAATGTGCATTTCTGATTTTAATTTTTATTTTTTACACAGAAATATATGGTAAATATTAAATACCTCCAAAGTATTTAATGCACATTGCAAGATGAATTAAAAATCAATGACTGCATGTAACAATGTTAATTATTTCTATTTTACATTATTATAAGTATTTAATAATTAATACCTGCCTACTTTTTGCTGTCCATGAAAGGTTGTTGACTGGTAAAATGAAGAATGTAGAAGGTACTTATAATGTTTTTTATAAAAACAAAGTGAAGGTTATAACTCCTTCTAAAGACTCCCCTTAATAGATGGTGCTGACATTAGCAAACAGGATTTAAATGTTATTCTAAATAAATCTAGCAGAATTTTGTAAATCAGATTTACATTGAAGCCTTGTAGATAACAGTTTCTGATGGTCAACATCTTATTAGATTACAATGACCTATCATCCTGAGTATAAAAGACCCCTTTGCTCTCTACATTACATAACCAGAAAGAGATGTATGTACTACACAGGACTGGATAAAGAATAGATGTTTCTGTCTATCTTGTTCTTTAACTGCTCTTCTCTATATGACACTGTTTGACATTATTACTTTTCATTTTCTATTCAGATTTTCCCAATGAATTTAATTACTGGCTATGTAGATAAATGTGGGATCTTTCAGTAACAGAACATGGATTGCAGTGTTCATATTCAGTATCATGTGGTTATCATGTGGTTAATTAATTTAGAGAACAACTTGCCTTGCAGTGTACTCACTCCATTGACAACGTTTGACAGGGGCATGCTGCAAGTTTGTAAAATTCTTGTTTGAGAAATACTTGCTGACAACATTTCTGGAGTGGCAGATTTAATTCCTACAAAATAGTTGTAATAACATACATTTTCATATCTCAGCAGCAATATATTAATTTACAGATCTTGACACGTACATCTTAAAAAGAAAGCTTGTTGTCATCACTACTACAAGACACAGAGTTGATGTCCGTTTGTTTATTATCTGCCATCTTGAGAACTGATTCCGATATATGACACAGTTCTAAGATTAAGTATTAATAGTGGTCAATTTTGAAATGTTTATAAAATTACTATTTTAGAAAAACCTTTTCAATAAAAAATATTTGGCTAGAACGGCATCTCACTCTCCTTATCAGCCACCTACATATCTGCCTTATAATTTTAAGCTATTAATGAATGTTTAAAGAGAGCTTGCTAATCGCTTAGGAAACAAAGTTTAATTCACAGAATATAGGCCACAACCTAACCAGAAAAAAAAGAGAAAGGGAAGAGAGGAACAGCCAGGGATATTATTGGGATGCCTGGGCTATGCATAACGCCTCCTAGGAGCAGAAAGATATGAATGACTGTGGACAAACATCCATGATCAACACCTCGAGCCAAGATTAGAATGCTGCATTCTCAAACAATGATAAACAAACCAGCTCAGGGGTACCAGAGAATAGACTAGTCCGATCGGGTCAGAACATAAAAACACACTAACTCCGAGAAACAAACTTAAAGTACAACTGTCACCTAAAAACTACTTTTAATATAACATCATTTCACTAAGTTTAGAAAGGAAATAGATTTTTAAAAAAATAAAAAAAAACAAGTTTATGTCAAAACATTTAGAAAACTAATCCCTACCTTTAGTATGTGACAGGATCCTTTAGCCACATACATACACCTTGGGTCAGATGGTGTTTGAAAGCCGACAGTCTCTTTGGTCTTCTGTTGGTTTTTAAACACTGTCCTCAATTTAAAAACAAATCTATTTCCTTTTTAAAACGTGACAAAAGGATTGTTATATTAAAAAAAAAATGCTTTAAGGTAACAGTTTTCTCTTTCCGAGAAAACAAAAGATTTTCCACTATCAAGTTTATTATATTCACTACAGTGAGATTTCAAGGTGAATTCAAAGTGAATTTCAAACTAAAGGCCACATTAGAGGGAATTTTTCCAGTTTGGTTATTTTGACTTAAATTTTGATATTAATTTTGAATTAACCTTAAATTCTCCCATTAGTGACTAACCCTGTAAGTATCATAATATGTCTGCATTGTTTTTACATCCATTCAACATTACCAGATGTTACAGGTGCATGGATATAACTTTTTTACGTTCTGATTTAACTTTCTATTGTTACTGTTACTAATAAAAATACATAATACTGTACAGATCATGCAAAAGTCTTTAAATTCATTCTTACCTGTCATGACCCCATAGGCAGCTTGCTGGTTTCCATAGTGACAGGATGGATTTGGGTAGTGCAGGCCTGCTGGAGTGTTATCCACATTAGGCACAGAGAAGTATATGTGAGAAAATTTAGGAATTTGGACCAAAGACAAAACAGACGGGACTGGTAAGAAAATGTATGATGATTCAAGATGCATTCTTAAAATATTTGGCTATATTAAAATATTTTTTTATGATTCATTTAAATGCAAATTCTTGTTTTGAGAAGAAAAGATTTCACTAGTTTTACTGAAAATTCCAAAATACTGTGTTCATTATACATATTGTAACCCCTTAAGCACTGAGCCAGCTGTACACGTTGTGATCAAAACAAAACGTAAACAAAAACTGGAATTTGCGCTATTTGTCTGTTCAACGTAATTCACCCTTTTCATATTAAGTGTACCCACATGTATTATGTATCATTTTTTTTCAGGAGAAACAGGGCTTGCATTTCACATGAACAATTTATATATGAAACATAATTCATGATGAATGAAATAAAAAAAATTGAGAAATTAAGATTTAAAAAAAAAAATGTTTAGTTCTGCGTAGCATTCTAACTGTGAATTTCATAATACTGTTAGCTTTTACTCCAAACACATGCACATATTTGTATTCAGCCAAGCCTCATGAGTACAACAATACACCCCATGTACAGGTCTTATGGTGTTTTGGAAAGTAACAGGGTCAAATATCACATGTTTTATTTTCCAGTTTATACACATTGAAATTTGCCAGACTGGTTATGTTGCCTTTGAGACTGTATGGTAGCCCAGGAATGAGAATTACCCCCATTTGAAAAAGTAGACAAAACAGGGTATTCAATATGGTGTATGTCCAGTCTTTTTTACTAGCCACTTGGTAACAAACACTGGCCAAAGTTAGCATTTATATTTGTTTGTGTGTTAAAAATGCAAAAAACAATTATGAACGCTAACTTTGGCCAGTGTTTGTGACACCATTTGCAATACCTTGGGTTGTCTTCTTCTGCAAATGGTATGCCATCATGGGGGTAATTCTCATACCTGGGCTACCATACTCTCGCAAAAGCAACATAACCAATCTGGCAAATTTAAAAGTGAAAACAATGGAAAAGCAAACCTTATATTTAAACATGTTACTTTCAAAAACACTATAAAACCTGTACATGGGGGATACTGTTATACTCAGGAGACTTGACTGAACACAAATATTAGTGTTTCAAAACAGGAAAACGTATCACAACAACGATATCAGCAATGGAAGTACCGTTTGTGTGTAGAAAAAAAATGTCACTTTCACTGACAATATCATCTTTGTAATACGTTTTACTGTTTTGAAACACTAATATTTGTACTCAGTGAAATCTCCCGAGTAAAACAGTATCCTCCATGTACAAGTTTTAGGGTGTCTTGGAAAGTTACAGGTTAGTGCTAGCAAATTTAATTTTCTGGACTTTCTGCCTGGGTTGTCAGGCAGGTCCCTCAAAATGTAATCAATAAAAATATTTCATTATGTAAAATTATTACATAAATATGCACATAGAATTTAAATATATATACATATTTATATATTTGAAGTCTACGTGTATATTTATGAAGTTATTTATGTAATTATGCATATGGATATATTTATATTTTTATTACTTTTGTGTATTTATATATACATATCAAATACACTTAGAATGAAATTACATATTAAAATATCATTATTTTTTTAATTTTTACTTACTTATTATTTATTTTTTATAATAATATATATTTACAATGTATACAGTTTGTATATAAATATATATATATTATATATAGATATAATATATGTATATTTATCAAATAGGTTATGGTGGGGAAAAATTGTGATTGGAAACCCCTTCCACCTGAAGTCTGTGGATAGTTAATACAATGTTAAACAAAAATCTACACACCAGTCAAGCCATAAGACTTGCTTTTCCCACATAAATCACAAATCTGCAGTGATGTTACTACTGCAAATGATTCTGGGTGGGCATATGCAAATAGGTTTAACAAAGAATAACATTTTTGCCTCATTCCATTTTAAACATGGATTCCTTTTAATCTGTGTTTGCGGGGATCGGGTACGTGAATAGGATAGCGCGGTCGTTCTATGTTGCCCGCCAGCGTTTAGAGCCACCCCTTCAAGGACGGCATAGTACGCCCGCTGTCCTTAAGGGGTTAAACACTTAAAGTGAGAACACCGATGAATAAAATATCGAGCATGACCATTACCTATAACTTGTGCTAACCTTTTTTTCATGATATGCTCTGTTTTATTTTAAATAATTATTAAATATTTTGAAAATTACATCATAAACCAATCCAGACAAGGCAAAGCCAGGGTAAACATTGCAAATGAAGAGAAGAAATAAAAAAAATTGTTTCATTTCTTCTATTCTCTTTTGCCCATCAGTTGCATGGACACAGTATATAACAATGAATGCCAAATATCTCTATCAGATTTACATCATTATTGGCAGATAACGTTGCGAGAAATATTTATTAGAGACAAATAGTTTAATGCAGTGGTTCCCAAACTTTTTAGGTTCAAGGCGCCCTTAATATTTTAGTATTTTTCCAAGGCACTTTACTGGTGCTATAGTGTAATGTACAGTGTTGGTGTTTGAAGGGATGCTTGTATACATTTATTGTGTTTTAATACAGGGGTGTGTTTGCATGTAATGTTTGTGATTGCTTGCAGGGGTGTGTCTGAATGTAATGTTCACTTTTAAATGTGGATATACATTTGTGTGAAGTATTTGTGTTTGAATGCAGGGGTGTGTTTGTAAGTAATATTTGTGTTAGATTGCAAGAATGTGCTTGTATATTGTGCAGGTGTTTGACTAATTGGATGTATGCACATACACTACCACATACATACATACATACTTACACAGATATTCATGCACATTACCACACAGATGCATATAAATACACAGACACATACACACAAATTCATATAGACACCGACACATACACACATATAGATACACATCGACATACACACATGCACCCTGACACACACAAATATTGATACATGCCCACACCATGACACAGATACACACTGACATAAAAACATACACCCTGACACACAGAGCACATACACACAAATAGGTTATGGTGGGGACACACAGACACAGACACAGAAGCACACTGACATATATATGCACACACACAGATGCACACCCTAACACACACACACTCACAAACACCCTGACACAAACACACTCATGCTCACTCACACACATACACTCATACACATACACACACACTCATACACATACTCATACTCACACTCGTACATACACTCACATTCATACACATACACTCATACACATACACATACATACACATACACACTGTCACTTACTCCCAGCCAGCTGACACTACAGGGACCCAGTCGCGGTCTTAAAGGATCGTGGCACTCAACCAGGTCCCTGTTGAACAGTAATGTTTCCCCGTTACTATAATCATAGCATCGAGGAAACATTCTACGGCACCTCTGTGTGCACGTCGTGGCGCCTCCGGGTGCCAGCGGTTCCCAGGGCGCCGCAGCACACAGTTTGGGAACCGCTGGTTTAATGGGTTTTTGGTTCCAGACAGGGGCGTACCTAGAGCATTTGGCACCCGGGACGGACCCCCCCCCCCAAAAAAAAAACCTGTAAAAAATGTTAAAGGTTTTCTTTAATTAATCCACACTCCTTAATTAATCCATACCCCTTAATTAATCCATACCCCTTAATTAATCCACACTAATTCATCCACACACCCTTAATTAATCCACCCCCCTTAATTGATACACACACCCTTAATTAATCCACACTAATTAATCCACCCCCTTAATTAATCCACTCCCCCATAATTAATCCACCCCCCATAATTAATCCATCCCCCTTAATTAATACACCCCACTTAATACACCCCCATAATTAATCCACCCCCCCTTAATTAATCCACTACCCATAATTAATTCCCCCCTTAATTAATCCACCCCCCATAATTAATCCACTCCGCCTTAATTAATCCACCCTCTATAATTAATCCACCCCCCATAATTAATACACCCCCATAATTAATACATCCCCAATAATTAATCCCCCCTATAATTAATCCACCCCCCATAATTAATTCACACCACCCCCATAATTAATATACACCCCCATATTGATACACCCCCCATAATTAATATACCCCATAATTGATACACCCCCCATAATTAATACACCCCATAATTAATATACACCCCTCACTTTCTCACCCTCCTCTCTCACCCCCTTTCTCTTCCTTCTCACCCTCCTTCATAGCTTCCTTTGCACCCCCATTTCTCTTCCTTCTCACCCCCCCTTTTCTCTTCTTTCCTCACCCCCCTTTCTCTTCTTTCACACACCCTCACTTCTTTCTCACCCCCCCTTTCTCTTCTTTCCTCACCCCTTTCTCTTCTTTCTGCCCTTCTCTTCTTTCTCACCCCCCCTCCTTCCCCCTTTCTCTTCTTTCTCTGCCCCCCTTTTCTCTTCTTTTACTCACCCCCCTTTCTCTTTTAACATACCCCCCCTTTCTCTTCTTTCTCGCCCCCCCTTCTCTTCTTTCTCACTTACTTTTCTCTTCTTTTTCTCCACTTCCCCTCCTTCCTTTCTCGTAACTCTCACACCCCTTTCTCTTCTTTCTCATCCCCCTTTCTCTTCTTTCTCTCACCCCCCTTTCTCTTCTTTCTCACCCCTTTCTCATACCCCCTACGTAGGTAGGCGGGCTTAATTATAGTCGGTGGTGCAGGTAACTTTGTTTATAGCAGGCTGGGACTAGCAGGAAGTGCACACTCAGGTGCGCTTCCTGTTGATCGGCTTGAGCCACAGGAATTGCTTCTCCCACTGTACCCGCCCACGTGCTCGGCTCACGAGAAATACGTGGGAGGGCAGCTGGTAACTTCCCCTCCTGTTAAGCCCTCATGCTGCGCCCGGGCGGTGCGGTCCGCCCTCATGGACGCACCGCCCGGGCAATGCTGCAGCCGCCTGAGGCTCACTACAGAGCGCTCGGGCGGCTGCAGCATGAAGGGGGGCCGGCGGGGCTGGTCATGGCACCCCCCATCCTGGTGGCACCCGGGGCGGATCGCCCCCCCCGCCCTCCCCTTAGTACGCCACTGGTTCCAGATCAATTATAATTTGGGGGTTTATTCACTGAATACCAAAATACATCTACAAAGGATCAATACAACACTGAAATATCTACAAAAAAAGAACCCAACTGTAAATAAGCTGAAATACTAACTTAAACATCTTAAAATGCCACCATTGGCTGTGGGTGTTGACGTCAGACGCTGGCTAATGATGCTACTGGGGGTGGAGTAACACTCCCAGAAGCAAAAAGATTAATCTCTGTCTTCAAAGTGAAACACAGTATGTACAGACTCCAAGTACCATAACTGCTTCAAATCACTGAAGTAGTCATGGTGCTTAGAATAACCCTTTAAGGGTACTTTCAACCGTTAAAATGGCTTCTGCACAATGAAGTTGTTTTTAGGGCTGATGTCTCTGGTTGTTGTCTTACCTTAAGGTGTTAAAGAACTGTTTGTTCTTGCTAATAAAGACAGAAGATTGTTTTTTGCTATTGTTTATTGAATTACAGAGTTTAAGGTTTTATTTAAAAATTAAATATTTACAAATACTTCCAAATTTAAATATTTTTTTTTCATCCAACAAACAGCAAGACTAGCTTTAACCAAACTGTTAGGATTTTTTACTAAAATGAGAGTTTAAAATGAATTCAACATGAATTTAAAATTTTAGCCCAAAGTTAGCTGGACTGCAAGTATTGCTGATTTAGAGAATTTTTCAGCAATTTTGCTACTTTGGCCTTAAGTTTTAAATTCACTCTGAATGCTCACGTCAGTGAGTAACCCTGTGTATGCTATTGTACTCTTATTGCAATTCAGTAGCATCATTTTTATTCAACTACATTTCCAAGACAGCAATATGGATATTTTATATTTAAATGCCACAGTTTCTCTATTGCAAATGCATTTTGCAGTTATATCAATTTGTATTAACTTCATCATTATGTGCTTATAGATTTTATGAGCAAATCCCATTACTCAAATGTAATTAGAAGTGGATGATACCAGAAACATTCACTATACTATATATATATATATATATATATATATATATATATATATATATATATAAAACCAACCTTGTGCAGATGATTTGCATTAACAATGAAACAGCTGTCCATGAGTGGTTCACTGGCTTTGCATCTTTTCCTAAGTTGTGTTTCAAAGCTGTTGTATACAGAAAACACAGATTCAAAAGAATCCATGTTTAAAATGGAATGAGGCAAAAATTTGAGTCTTTGTTAAACTAATTTGCATATTCCCACCCAGAATCCTTTGCGGTAGTAACATCACTGCAGATTATGTAGGGAAAGCAAGTCTTATGGCTTGACTGGTGTGCAGATTTTTGTTTAACATTGTATTAACTATATATATATTTATATTCACTATACCATATCATGTTTTTAAACTCAGTAGTGTATAGAGGATAATGTCACAGCATATATAAAGAACATGAATAACATCAAGTCTGCATTAGGTCACTTATTGCCATTACTCTCACAGGAAACAGTAGTTATTTGCAGCTGCTCCCATTAATTTAGAACCTTTCCTCAAACTGATATATCGATATAGGCATCTAAACTCAAATGATCTTATCATCTGCTGTCCAAAGTTCTTGCCCTGGTACTCTCACCCAAAGTTGGGCAGGCTTATTGCACATTAACTTCCTTATTAGTTGAGGCACAGCAGGAGGGCTGATTTTAGACACCAGTAGAACCTTTAAAACACAAGAAGGTTGCTTAAAGACTACTTGCCTCATAGCCACAACATTGAGAAGCTTAACATTCATTCTCTGGATCTATTTTTCTTTTTTTTTTAAGTAATCAAGTGGTATATGCAATGTATGAAATTAGTCTTTTTGTTTATTAATAACCACTTAAGGATGATATTATGGTCTATGCCAGTGATGGCTAACCTTGACACTATAACTAGTTTCTGAACTACATTTCCCATGATGCTCAGCTAGGTGTTAGACTCTATAAGATAACTGAGCATCATGGGAAATGTAGACCAGAAAAAATTTATGGTGTCAAGGTTAGCCATCACTGGTCTATGCCATCATGCAGTGCAGAGCTTTAACGTCCTCTATACTGTGTGAGCTGGGAAAACCTTCTGCTGATATCAGTATCAGCAGATGGAATCCCTTAATGGTGGAATTAGAGGGGGGATTAGTGTGTGTGGTTAGGACTGGGATTAGAGGGTGGGATTAAGACTGGGATTATAGGTAGGATGGTAAATAGGATTATGGATTGGATTATGGATAGGATAAGTGTTGGGTTATGGGTAGGATTACAGTTTGGATTATAGGTCGGATTACGAGTAGGATTATAGGTTGTACTATGGGTTCCATTATGGTAAGGTACATTGGTAGTTTGGATTATGATTAGGATTAGGAGGGGGATTATTGGATCGATTATGGGTTGTGTTAAGGGTTGGATTAATGGTTGGACTAAAGGGTGGATTAAGGGTTTTATTAAGGGTTGGATTAAGGGTTGACCATATTAGTGCTAGGAATAGGGGCAGGATTAGGAGAAAGGATATATGTGTGGGGTAATATTGTACACATTAACAATAGCAGAACACAAAAATGGGGTGTTTGTAGTAGTGGGACATACATGTGTGGAAAAAAAACAATGAACTAATTTGACTTTGGTTTGGGAAAAAATTATTAAATAAAAAAAGTGTCTACATGCTCTTATCTATTCAAATCTACAAATATATACTTTTGTGAAACTATGACTACTAATACATTTGTGATTTCAGCAGACCATATTTTTCAAAGTTTTTGCATAAAAAACACAATTAACTTCTTGCAGTATTTGTTTTATAATGTCAAAAAAAAATATTGAAATCCTAGACACATTAGGCATTTCAACAATTAGGACTAATTAGTGAATCTATTTTGAGTTAGTTTTCTTTATGTGCACTTGGTGTGTAAAGATTATTAAATGCAAAACTGAGCAAAACTATATTTTTTAGTTAAAAAAATAATAATATTGTATTCCTATTTAATCTTAAGTAATGTTTAAATATAGGGTATCAAAAAAGCCTGATTTTTCCTTTAAAATTTTTTATATAATAAATATGGAGACACTTAAAGAAAACAAGGGGGAATTGTGGTAGATTGAGTGCATGGGAAAAGCAGCAAAAATACCTTAGTCACCAATGTGTCATACATTTAAGTTATAAAGTAAGGTATGCATTGCAATTTTGTGAATTTTTATACAATTCCACCATATGTATCTTCTTTTTTACATTTTTTTTTACATTTTTTAAAGTTAGTTCTATGTTAGTTCTCCTTACTTTGCTGTAGCAACCGAAATCCAGATCTAAATGCATATTATTTATATTGTAATAGTTTCAATAGTTTTCACCATTTCTTTTTTTAATCAAAAATAATCTCTCCAAAATACACAAGCTTACTTTTAAAATGCAACAGGGTGTATTATTATTGAAACTATGATGTAGATTTTAAAATTAAATTAAAATATTTGGGTGTTCAGTCACTAAATAGAAATATCCGTCTACACTCACGTTTTGTATTCATCATAACTTAATATTCTTTAATACTCTTTGTTATATCCGAATTACACATTTGGTATATTTCACATTTTACATATTTTAAACTTAAATAGTTTTCATAAAACAAATTGTGTTAAGTTGAAAAAAAAAAAGTGCAACCCAGCTGGATATATTCTCTAATTTAAACTTTAGCTAATTTAAACTAAATATGATAAGCCTATTATCACCCCATCACAATGTACTGTTTAAAGAATATACCTAGAGTTTTCAACTTTCTGAGTTACATAAAACCTCAGAAAAACAATGGCCATTGCCTTGAATTGATTTGTGTGTACTTGACACAGAAATACTTTTTTTTGTTTTAATATCCACTGTAAGCAGAGCTACATCTGTACACAATTTGAATAGACTTCAAAATGCAGTATATGTACATCACTTGTTAAGCAGACTATGTAAGATCATTTTACAAAGGCTAAATACTTCATTGTAATGCATGTTTTTTATTTTTTTTTATTTATTACTGTCCAGCTTAGCTGCCGTTTCAAATAATTAAATAAATAAACAAATACATAAAGTCAGGTGTTTAAAAAAATAAATGAAATTTACTGAGCTATAAAGTATATATATATATATATATATATATATATATATACACATTTAAAATGGCAAATTTCCAAGTATTTTAGTAAGAATTTACCATATTTTAAGTATTCTTTTTTTTTCAAATTGGGAGTAGAAAATTATAAATAATTTAATTATTACTTGGGAATAGTCAAATTTAACAATTAAATGTAAAAAATACTATATTTAGTCATTCTTGGATCAGATAACACAGTAGTCATTATAAATTAGACAATAAAGAAGAAAAGCACCAAGATATCATAATAAAAAGTAAAAGTACAAAGACGAAGGTAACGTACCTGTTGAGACAACATTGGTGGAGTGATTGGAGACAGGAAGATAATCACTGTGATGCATCCTAACTGGGAAAGTAGCTGAAGATTCAGAATTTAGTGGCACAAAAGAATCAGCAGTCACAAAAGCTTGGAAACTCATTCCCCCAGATTGAAAAAGAAGAAAATGGAGAATGGTTTAGTTTTGCTTTTCTGGAAGTCTTGAGGAATCAATAATAAATGTTTAGATCACACCTTTTTTAAAATTGCCTGTATTCATAAAAGGGGCTACTTGGAAAATGGGTGTCGTGTGCAGGTATTTATACTGTTAGAAAATCCCTTTATCCATCTTAATGCTCTTTCTCCAGGAGATTGCTACATAAACACGTCTGTTGTCCTTCCCACCAACCCGAACAATATCCAACCAATTAGTTTGAGAAAACAGAAACCTGAGCTCGTCTGTTAAGCCAACCTACCATTAGTTTACATGTTATTTGAGATACTGGCAAGTGTCTGGTGCTCTTTGACAGTGATGGTTAACTTGAACTACATTTCCCAAAATGCTTAGACAGCCTTTGTAGTCATCGTCGGTAATGTTGTTCATAAACATTTGGGGTACCGAGGTTTGTGCAAGATCTTGGAGAGTATACCAAAAGTGCAGTGAGTGGGAGATTCAGTCATTAATACTGGTATATAAAAATGGTAGTGGTTGTAAGGTATATGTGACGTGAAAGAATATGTTATACACTCAAATGATGGAAAACTGTTACAATCTTCATACTAAGTAAAATTAATTTAAAAAAATTACATTTAATAATAAAATTAAAAAAATACACTCCAAATGGCTTGGATGAGTAAAATGTTCTTATGTATTGTAAAATAATTACATTATAATTATTATTGTTATTGGTATTCATTTAGCACCAACTTATTCTTTAGCGCTTTGCAATATTATAAAGGGTAAAATTGAACAATGAATGAGACAACTACAAAATGTTACAGGAACAATAGGTTAATGGAGACCCTGCTCAATAGCGTTGTTATAATCATGTTTTACATTTACCTTTTCACTTTTTAGGTTATTGGATTTGTTGATGCAGAGTTGCTTATTTCAATGACCACATGATATTGGTGCTAGAGCCATATTTAATATAAATGAAACAAGGTATCGAGATAAACTCTGGAGCCCTATATGTTTCAGAGAAATAAAGTTTCAGATTCATGCATATTCCTAAATATACCGCAAACCATGCATATTATGTTGCACAGATATCTGTGGATCACTATAATAGGTGCATTTTCATAAAGATACATCGAGGAAATGATCGGGCACGTTTTAAAATTTTTTATAGATTATCAGGTTATGCATTCATCTGTATGAAACATGCATACATCTAGAAAGCTCCACTTATAATTCTATGATAGAAGCATAAATTCAGATGCATTTATGAATTACATATGGATAAAACATGAGTTAAAGGGATTCTATAGTGTTAGGAATACAAAGTTTTAGTCTATACACTATAATTCCCTCTGTCCTCCCCCCTCCCTCGTGGCTCACCTGGCATGTGAAGGGTTAAAAAAACATTTGGGTACTTATCCGATTCCAGTGACGATCTCAATAGGCGGTGGGTAGGTGCTCTGTCTCCTCCGACGTTATGCAATGTGTCATGGATTTGCAGGATCTAAATGGATTTCTATGATACTGTATTTGTATTTGTTTTGATGTTAGTACCAGTCTTCGAAGAAGCCACATCGTGAAATGCGATTAGTGGAATTTTAATCTGCTCTAAAGTGAGAATTGAATAAACAACCATTGGTTTCCAGTGTGGATCTAGTAACCAGATCCATACTGTCATTATAATTTTTAATAAAAACAGAAAATCCAGCGCACTCCATTATCCCCTAAACAACAACTTCAGTGCTGACAGATTTAGCTAGGTTTTTTTTTTTTTAAACACCTAATCCAGGCAAAAAATAATGGAGGTTTAGTTACATTATATGATCATACATTGCATAAGCCTGCCACAACGTCAATGTACCCAATCTTTGGCAGGTCCTACACTACCAGCCTAGTGTCTGCTTCATGAGCTACTTACTTGGGGAAAAAAAATTCCATCTAGAGTGTACAAGGCTACATAGGGCCCTGGGATGAGGTACCTGTGACACGGAGGGGCGCAAAACCCAGGAGTTGGCTAGACTCCCAAATATATATATTATATTATAATTTTTAATGGCAGTATGTTTTCTGGTTTCCAGATCTATTGCAATTCAATATGATATTGTTGCTTCCAGGCCTTCTTTTGATTATTTAAAATAGTCACGTTTAAAGGGACACTCAGACCACTTCTGCCCATTGGAGTGGTCTGGGTGCCAGCTCCCACTACTCTTAACCCTGCAAGTGTAATTATTGCAGTTTTTTATAAACTGCAATATTTACCTTGCAGGATTTACTCCACCTCTAGTGGCTGTCTACCTCTAGTGGCTGTCTACTAAGCACTTGCTGGTTTCTAGCACAGGAAACCTGTGGGAGGGAGAGGGGACCTGCAGTGCCAGGAAAACGGATTGTTTTCCTGGCACTGGAGTTTCCCTTTAATGTTTTGGCTTACACAATTAGTGATGTCGCGAACATAAAATTTTCTGTTTGCGAAAGGCGAACGCGAACTTCCGCAAAAGTTCGAGAACTGGCGAACCTGGCGAACCGCGATGGAGGCCCTAAAGCAGCGGGTGGGGGCCCTAAATACTAAAAAGGGGGGGGACCTAAGGTCCTCACCCCTGGCCCCCACCCCTGAGCGGCGGGTGGGGGCCCTAAATACTATAAAGGGGGCGGGACCTAAGGTCCTCCCCTCTGGCCCCCACCCCTGAGCGGCGGATGGGGGCCCTAAACACAAATTGGGGGGGGCCTAATGTCCTCACCCCTGGCCCCCACCCCTGAGCAGCGGGTGGGGGCCCTAAACAAAAATAAGGGGGGGGACCTAATGTCCTCCCCCCTGGCCCCCACCCCTGAGCGGCGGGTGGGGGCCCTAAACAAAAATAAGGGGGGACCTAATGTCCTCCCCCCCGGCCCCCACCCCTGAGCGGTGGGTGGGGGCCCTAAACAAAAATAAGGGGGGGACCTAATGTCCTCCCCCCTGGCCCCCATCACTGAGTGGTGGGTGGGGGCCCTAAAAAAAATGTCCCCCCCAGGTGACTAGGGGTCCCCAAATCCCTAGTCACCCCCTTCCCCCCACCCAAAAAAAGCATCCCCCTACCTACCCCCCCACACGCTAAAAATAATGAGGGGGGGACCTTTAATTAAGTACCTGTAAAAAAAAATAAAACTTACCATTCAATGTTTTCGAACGTGAACATGCGATGTTCGCCAGGAACTATTCGCCAGCGAATCATTCGGGACATCACTATACACAATCAGTGCACTAAAAATAATGAATAAAAAAATATTGAAAAATAAATATTTTTAACTTCCGGCTGCAGTGAGCTCTGTCTATACTAGTAAGTAATTGAAAAACTTGTATACCGCATTGGTTTACTGTTGACATGACACTGAGAACATTTTAGACATATCACCCTCATTAAAAAGACATAGATAAAATGTAGACTGCGTCAAAATGTGTTTTATATATGGCATCAGCCCAGTGTTATGCCATGCATTCTATATAATATTTACTGTAAACCAAACCATATTCCCAACCCTATCCCTAAACCTATTACTAAGCAAGTATGACACAAGTGTCCTTACTTATTGATGGGAGAGCAACGTTGTGTCAAGTATAGGTAGCAGCATCACAGCAAGTAGGGAGCAGCAAAGCAGTGAGTATATGAAGGAACTTTGCAACAACATTTTAATAGAACATAATCAGCGACATTTTGTCATCTACATTTCATCTGTCATAATTTTTCTGGCACGATTGTACACATATACCAATCTTATTTTATTTAAGTAGATAACTGGGTATTTCCCAAAATCTTATTTCACCACATAATAGTAACAGATTTAATGCCTAATTCCTTTCTTTAAAGGACCACTATAGTGCCAGGAAAACATACTCGTTTTCCTGGCACTATAGTGCCCTGAGGGTGCCCCCACCCTCAGGGACCCCCTCCCGCCCGGCTCTGGAAGGGGGAAAGGGGTAATAACTTACCTTTTTCCAGCGCTGGGCGGAGAGCTCTCTGCCTACTCTCCGCCTCCGATCTGCCACGCCGGCTGAATGCGCACGCGCGGCAAGAGCTGCGCGCGCATTCAGCCGTCTCATAGGAAAGCATTTACAATGCTTTCCTATGGACGCTGGCGTGCTCTCAAATCACAGTGAGAAGCACGCAAGCGCCTCTAGTGGCTGTCAATGAGACAGCCACTAGAGGATTAGGGGGAAGGCTTAACCCATTCATAATTATAGCAGTTTCTCTGAAACTGCTATAATTATGAAAAAATGGGTTAACCCTAGAAGGACCTGGCACCCAGACCACTTCATTAAGCTGAAGTGGTCTGGGTGCCTAGAGTGGTCCTTTAAGGTGAGACCATTATGTGGTGTGCGACCATTTTGTGAAGCTTTATTTTTTTTTTAACAGCTTATTAATAGTTGCTGATAATATTATAGTTGCGAATAACATGGCTGCTGAAAACATGCATGTAACGGCTACCCAGGTAGTAAGAGGGTATCAGCCGTTGGAGACGTCCTTTTCTTCCCAGCAAGTTGCTGTATAATAATGGAGTCGCTTATTCCCATCCACTGGATCCAAGGCAGGAGTCAGGTAGAGCTCTTAAAAGAGCTCAGTGATTATGTTGCAGAATTCCCTTTCAAGAACAAGACAAGGCTACATTTTGAAGGGTCAATAAGAACTGGCTTTTAATGGCAGGCACTCTCCTTTTATGTGATTCTGCCCATGCAAGGGAGACACCCACATAATTAACAAAACAACCAATAAAACATAAGGTACATCCCACACATCTCCTCCCCTCAGATAAGCTATTAACACAATTAACAAGGACACATGTTTCCCCAAAGTTTGGATGTACCCCAAAGATAGCCCTATTCTGGGGGACCAACATAGTAAAAATTAAGCTCATTCGGTTCAGCGGTTCGGGAGGTATGGAGCTTGAAAGTTTTGACCGACCGCACAGGCAAAGTGGTCGGTCTTGGTTCGTGCGTAAAAAGTCCCGAACGGCTTGCCATCCGTGCGTAATCCGACGTTCACCAGAATCCCCACAGGCTATTAAGTCTTTCTAACGAACGGCCTGTTGTAGTTCTAGCACGATTTCCTGGTGCTATGGAGGTCTCAGCGGTGTTCGCCTACTCGAGTGTCCGATTTTAGTTCCAGACGCTCGATAGCAAAACACAGCTGTTCTGGAGTTAAGATGGCTGCGAACACATGTAAGTCCCGAAATGGCGGCCACCCAGGTGCTTCGCAAAGCGTTCGTGGGTTTTCTATGCGAAGGCACTTGATGGATCAGGGAGGTAAATTACCTATAATTAGGAAGCAGGGTGGCCCGGTGTTCGGTGGTTAGCATTTGTATGGGGAATGCTTCAAATGAACTGAACTGATGCCTAGCAAAGCCCCATAAAACAGGTTAAGCTCCTTGTGACGAGACCAATCTCGCCACATTGCATTGGAGAAGCCTGGTTGCTCGCCTGCTGCCTTTGGACTATGACCCCCTGTTAAAAGACATCTTTTTTTACCTGCAGAAAAGCTTAATTCGTGCTTTTCTGCCTGGGGTTCGGTAGATTTGTTTGAATGTGTTACACCCCAGATAGGAATCCCATGGAGCCCATTCGTATGAAACTGACTGTAAAGACTTTGGCTCCATGGCGATTAAACTGTATTCGTGTGGTCTGAGCGCCATTGCTTAATAATGTGCGCTCAGACCTGAGCTATCTGGGGATATGTTACATGTCTGTGTTTTATGTAATAAATGTGACTTTATGTATTTTAAAGTGTTTTGTGTCTTTTTGCAACCATGTGCTTAATGGAGTCTTGTGTCTGTCCTGGGAGATAATTGAATTACTCTCCAGGATAGAAGACTCTGAAACTGGTTTGGGCCAGAAAGCCATGCTTCATTTAGTCACAAAGGACTTTTTACTAACTTTTGAACCCCTGGTCTGATTTGTGCCATTTTTTAATATGTTGTTCCCCTGAATGGATTGATTCCAAATATGTAATTTTATGTGAATGTGATGGATGGTTTTAGAGTTATGAAAGTTGGGTAGAAAGTATGTTTTAACTGTATGTGTAATTGAGTTTCCTCTCAGGATAAGGGGAGGGAATATGTGGGATGTAACTGTGATGTGATTGGTTGCTTTATACCTCCCTGTGGGCGGTCCTGTATTTGAAAAAACTGTAATAAAAACCAGGCTGGGTGTGCCAGCACCTCAGACCACTGCTTGACCCTCAACACGGAGCCTTGTCTCGTTCTTGGGGGGATTCACTGTATGCTGTTAGAGACCGATTGCCAGGAGTGTAAGCTGATTGTCTGCTTTTCCTGTTCGTCTGCTAGCAGCTATTTGGGAGGTTCCAGTTCGGGAGTTGGAGTGCTATTTTGTATCCAGTTCGGGAGTTTGGTGTTCTGCAGTAGCTGTACCTGTATCTCTGGAAAGGGGGCTGATCGCCTAAACGGTTTTTACCCCTTGTGTGCAAAACGGTCCGTTACACTCCTCCATTTGTTACATGGCTCCCCTTTTGTGGAACACCCCGGCAGACCCGGATTGATCCTTTTCGCATTAACTTGGGGCTGTCCGGCTGACGGTTAGGGCAGAAGTTCGGTTTGCCTAGACAGTCCATCTGCGTTACCATTGAATTTGCCAGGCCGATATTGAATGGAAAAATTATATGGTTGTAGCGCCAAACTCCATCGCAATAAACGTCCATTATCTCCGGCACTCGATTCAACCATACTAGAGGATTATGATCAGTGATGAGTGTAAATTCCTGACCATACAAATACGGGGTAAGTTTCTTTAATGTCCAGACCAGGGCTAAACATTCCTTCTCCACTGCCGCGTAACTCACTTCTCTGGGTATCAATTTTCTACTTAGGTACGCGACAGGGTGTTCTCCTCCATCTTCCCCGATCTGGCTCAGAACTTCCCCAAGTCTGTACATGTAGGCATCTGTATGGACGACAAATCTTTTGTTAGGGACTGGGGAAGATAGCACAGGAGCATTGATTAGCGCTTTCTTTAATGTCTGGAAGGCTGTTTCACAGGAGGGGGACCACAGGACTATTCTAGGTAGGTTCTTTTTGGTTAGGTCTGTCAATGACTTGGCAATGCTACTATAGTCGGGGAAAAAATTTCTGTAGTATCCTGCTGTCCCTAGCCTGGGTCCTGGGTCTTGGTGTGGGGTGTGGGCCAGTTAGCCACGGCCTCGACCTTGGCTGGCTCTGGCCGCTGTTTCCCACACCCTACCCGGTGTCCCAGGTACTGAACTTCGGCCATGCCAAAGTGGCATTTTTCTGGTTTTAGAGTGAGGCCTGCGGCCTTAATCTGGTCCAGTACGGCACATGTTGCATATGTTCCCCCGAGGTCTCACTGTAGATCGCAATGTCATTCAGGTATGCACATGCGAAGTCCTGGAAGCCATCAAGGAGCCGATCCACCATGCATTGGAAAGTAGCTGGGGCATTCTTCATCCCGAATGGCATGACCTTAAATTGGTACAAGCCAAACGGGGTGACGAATGCCGACTTGGGGACAGCTTCCTTGGCTAGGGGAATCTGCCAGTATCCTTTACATAAATCAATAGTGGTCAGATATCATCCCCTAGCAATGCGATCTAGTAGTTCGTCTACTCGGGGCATGGGGTACGCATCCATCATATCCGGTCATTGAAACGTCTATAGTTGACACAGAACCATGTGGTTCCGTCCTTTTTGGGCACTAGAATGACCGGTGAGGCCCGGGGGCTGTCTGAGGGTTCTATGACTCCCAACCTAAGCATTTCCTGTATTTCTTTTCTCATTTCCTCCTTGACTGCCTCAGAGATTTGGTAGAGGGTCTGTCTAAGAGGGGTTTGTCCCGGTGTCTCCAAGGAGTGGATGGCTAACGTGGTATATCCGGGTTCTTGGGAGAACGTTAATCCCTTTTCCGCTAACAATTGCCTGATCTGTCCCTTTTCCGCTGGATTTAAGCGCTCCCCTAGTTGGACAGTACTGAGCAAACTATTGGGTTCTGTGCGTGCTAGCAGGTCGGGGATAGGTAGACTGTCAGAGTCCTCTGTGGCAGGGATGCAGATGGCCTCAATATCGTCTGGCCTTTCTTGGTATTCCTTCAGCTGATTAACAGGGAAGGATTTCCGAATCCGGTCATCCTTGTTACTGGCAATTACGTAGGTAGTGTCACAATGCATATTACATGATCAGAGTTCATTACAAGAACTCTAATCCCTGTCTTCCAATTGTGATCCCTATCCCTGTGCTTCTGTTGTTCTAACTAAGAAGATAGACATTCCTAATGCATTGCATAGATAAAATACACTAAAATACAATTAACTGATAGGTATCAAAGATTTTAAGAATAAGATGAGTAGGTGGTTTGCCATCATTTTTCAAGAATATGAATGTCTTACAACAAGAACAGCAATGGTCATTTATTCGACTAATACGTGATGAATTGGATTTGAACAAATTTTTAGACTGAAAAAACAGATTATGCAAGGGCGACTATTATGCGGTGAAATACTGTAATCCCTGCTCAAAATGATTTCTTGTGTATGTAACTCAGTAGTGGCAGCAGTTTAATTTGTGAAAAAATGCTTGAATGAAACAACAGCATAAGTTGCTAGATGCTTTGAGCTGTGGCTTACAAACAGGTCCATTCTTATTTTTATTAAAAAAAAAATTTTGTGTGAATGGAGCTATAGAATCCATTGTATTCGCTTGTGGCAACATCTTCATACAGTTCTCTAGAAAGAAAGAAATTACAAATTAACCCCTTAGCTAACGGACCATTTTTCAATTTTCTCACTGTTAAGGACCAGTGCTGTTTTGACATTTGGTGTCCTGGAAAGTTTCACTGTTAAACATAGGACTTGTAAACCAAATTCTCTGGACTTTCTGCCTGGGTTGTCAGGCAGGTCCCTCAAATTTTAATTTTGTACTACTAGTATTTATTTGATACACAGTATTATAGTGGATTGTGCCTGGTAGAAGGTTCTTCCAAAGGATTGTCTACCAGAAAAATACAGAGACTGGTTTAGAGGAATCTATACCATATAACATTATTAGGAATATTACATTCAGGCAGTTGTAATATAGTAAAATGAGATTGCAGACAAGTTTAGTAGTCTGATTGGTAATACTTGGGAGTACGTGGTGAACATAAAGTGTAGATGGAAATATAGGTACCCTAGGGTGGATAGGCAGGGCAGGGTAGGCAACATATAAACAGAATACCCCCAAAATAGTGAACATGAATTACAGCCAGGGGTGTCCCAGGGTAAAAAGGAAGAAGTAAACGATTTCTAAATCAAATAATCAACGGCATTTAAATTCGGTTTAAACTACAAGCTATCGTATATGAAACCTGGATCAAGAGATTAGGCTTAAGTCTCCTAACAGAACAATATATAATAATCATACAACATATACAACCAGAGGGTAAATACAATTGGCTAACGAAAAAGCAGTGCGAATAAGCCCGCAGACATACCGCCAGTGGCTGGTCATATTAGCAACAACAAACCATTAGTATATAAGAATATCAAACTTATTCCTTTTCTTTCCTTTTTTTCCTCTTTTCCTTTCCTTTCCTTTCCTTTCTTTTCTTTTTTCCTTTCCTTTCCTTTCTGCTCCTTCCTTTTCTTTTTCTCTTTTCTTTTTCACCTTTCCTTCCCCTTCTCCCCCTTTATTCTTTTTCTTTTCTTTTTTTCTCTCTTCCCCTACCCTCCCCTTTTCTTTTTTTCCCTCTTTTTTTTTGTTATTTTTATGTCTTTTTATTTTTGTTGTTTGACTTTTTGTATTGTATTTTGTTGTTTTGGGGTCTATTGTAACAAAAAAAAATGTGGGCAGTTAAATAAATAATATTCTAAGCAGGCTGTATCATAATGACAAAGGAGGAGCCATTCCTTGGGGCTTAAGCCCCCAAGCCATATTAATAGTTAATAGGGCATACAGCACTACAAGAAAGATATTGACTTGTGAAATCTGCAATTTATTTACTGTGTGCTGTAAAGCCCAAGCTAAGTATTAAACGGAAAAAGAAGAAAAAACTAATAAAATTAAAAAATACTGTTCAGATGCAAATCCTGCGTGTTTCTCATGGTTGTATAGCAGCTGTGCTATTATTCGGTAATCTATGCCATTCCAGTCTCAGCTTTCTAGGAGAGAACCCAAACGATGAAATAGAACCAGTCGATAGGTTCCATTGGCGTAAAATGCGTAAACCTTCGTCAGGGGACGTGATGATTGTCACAGTCCCATTCCTGTTCACCAGTAGCTTGGTGGGAAAACCCTGGTGATACAAGATGTGCTGCTCACTTAGGGCCGCAGTCACCGGCTGGTATGTCTTCCTAGTCCGGAGCGTGGCATCTGAAAAATCGGAAAAAAATTGATTTGAGAAGATTCTGCAGGTAAGTCTGTTCTTGAAAGGCTGGCTTTCAGTATAATCTCCTTAGCGTAAAAATAATGTGCCCTCAGAATGACATCTCTTGGAACGGTTTCAGATAAGTGTCGGGGGTGTTGAAACCTATGGACTCTGTCCATTAACAGGTTGCCGCTATAGAGGTCTGGAGCCAAGGTTCAAAATAGGCCTGTGATAAATTTTCTTAGATCATGCAATTTCAGAGATCCGGAATGCCATGTAACCTGATGTTATTCCGGCGGGACCGATCGTCCACATCAGCCATACGTGCTTCATAAGCCTCTATCCTGGTCTCCAGCTGCTGCATGGTGTCTGCTATGGAATTATGGGCCTCAGCATACTCTCTCATCTTCTCCTCTACAAGTGTTCTGGTGCCAAATCCTGGATGTCTTTGTGGAGAACATTCATGTCTGATTACCAAGTAGCTATTAATTTAGCTGAGAGAGCATCCAAAGATGTCTGAAAAAACCTGCGGGTCAGTGGGTCCATTCCCGCAGATGAGTCCAACACATGTGGTGGGCTTTCGCCCTCAGGCCCATCGGCGCCATCTTGGATTTCTTGTACCGCAGATGCTTTTGCCGTTTTTTGTTGGAAGAAATTACATTTTCCGGCACACTCTTGCAGGCGCTTGGACTTGTTTTGTGACATTGTGTGGGTCGAAGATTAGAGGTAAAATTTACGTTGTACTATTATACTGTTATAAACTGTTATAAACCCGGGTCCCGAGTCACGGAGCTCTCACAGCAGCATCCGATCGGCACGACCCCCCTACTTGTCCCACTCTGCCCAACAACCTAACCAGGGGTCATGAACTTTCATGATGTCCCAGATGTGCAATTGGATTCAGGTCTGGGGAACGGGTGGGCCAGTCCATAGCATCAATGCCTTCATCTTGCGGGAACTGCTGACACACTCCAGCCACATGAGGTCTAGCATTGTCTTGCATTAGGAGGAACCCAGGGCCAACCGCATCAGCATATGGTCTCACAATGGGTCTGAGGACCTCATCTCGGTACCTAATGGCAGTCAGGCTACCTCTGGTGAGCACATGGAGGGCTGTGCAGCCCCCCAAAGAAATGCCACCCCACACCATTACTGACCCACTGCCAAACCGGTCATGCTGGAGAATGTTGCAGGCAGCAGAACATTATCCACTGCATCTCCAGACTCTGTCATGTCTGTCACATGTGATCAGTATGAACCTGCTTTCATTTGTGAAGAGCACAGGGCGCCCATGGCGAATTTGCCAATCTTGGTGTTCTCTGGCAAATGCCAAACGTCCTGCACGGTGTTGGGCTGTAAGCACAACCCCCACCTGTGGACGTAGGGCCCTCGTACCACCCTCATGGAGCCTTTTTCTGATCGTTTGAGCAGACACATGCATATTTGTGGCCTGCTGGAGGTCATTTTGCATTGCTCTAGCAGTGCTCCTCCTGTTAATCCTTGCACAAAGGCGGAGGTAGTGGTCCTGCTGCTGAGTTGTTGCCCTCCTACGGCCTCCTCCACGTCTCCTGATGTACTGGCCTGTCTCCTAGTAGCACCTCCCTGCTCTGGACTCTACGCTGACAGACACCTCAAACCTTCTTGCCACAGCTCGCATTGATGTGCCATCCTGGATGAGCTGCACTACCTGAGTTACTTGTGTGGGTTGTAGACTCTGTCTCATGCTACCACTAGAGTGAAAGCACCGCTAGCATTCAAACGTGACCAAAACATCAGCCAAGAAGCATAGGAACTGAGAAGTGGTCTGTGGTCACCACCTGCAGAACCACTCCTTTATTGGGGGTGTCTTGCTGCCTATAATTTCCACCGGTTGTCTATCCTATTTGCACAACAGCATGTGAAATTGATTGTCACTCAGTGTCATTCTAAGTGTATTTTAATATTTGTGTATATATATATATATATATATATATATATATATATATACACAAATATTAAAATACACTTAGAATAGTGGATTGTGTATGTGCATATATAAGTACTTAGATCATATAAATATTTCCTGGCCATATCCCTGGCAGCACAACAATGGATAGCTCCTCCCTATCCCTAATTAGACAGGAACTAATTAAACAAAAGGTATAAGTACTACCTCCTATCCCCTCCTTTTTGTTCCTGTCCCATCCGTATAGGACATCTTAGTTTTGGAACTAATACAATTTTCTTTTATGGCTTATCTGAGGATTGGTTCCTCTGGCCCCTTGGGAGTTCGGCTCAGGACATCAGTGTTTCCGGCTTACTTATGACTTAAACCTTCCATGTTGCCGATGTATATATATATATATATATATATATATATATATATATATATTCTTGGTTCCCAACAGGTGTATTCAAGCCCTATACTAGCCACACACTTAACACACTCAAGTGAAGCCGGTGCCATACCGAGCCGGCTTTTATTATCTCTACTTGAAAAATCTTTATCAAAAGCTTTCTTTACCAAAGATATATATAAATAGCCAGATAGCACGATAGGTGCCCTTGAAGGCACAGATTAGTATTGTATCTACTGAACAGTCAGCAAGCAATCTTACTGCTAGATAGGTGCTACCTTTACCGTAGATATTCATTCTGCATAAGTGATAGGTGCCCGTGAAGGCACAGAGCAGATTATTATCTAAGAGCTGACAGCTAGAAGAAAGATTAACCCTTGAAATACCGGTGTACTTATCAAGGCACAATACTGCATCTCTACAAAACCACAGCTGCGTATACTAACTTGCTACATTCAAGGCAAGCCGGTTTCATACTGATCCAGTATTCATTATACTTACCGGATAGAAATCTAAAACAAGACCTGTCTTTATTCAATAATTATAGCTGAATAGATAGGTGCCCTTTTAAGGCACAGTTTGAGTACATTATCTATCAATAGCCAGTGAGCAATTTGACTGCAAGGCGCTATTTCTATCGTATATATTTACTTTGCCTAATTGATAGGTGCTCTCGTAGGCACAGAACGGGTTACTATCTCTCAGCTGACAGCCATAATAGAGATTAACCCGTGTTATGCTTATGTGCCCATCAAGGTACACTTTTGAATCTCTGCAATACCACAGTTTTCTTTGCTTTAGAGATAGATGTCCTTGAGGGCACAACACAAGTTACTATCTCTTAGCTGATAGCTATATTAGAGATTGACCCACACTGTACTTATGTACCTACAGGGCACACTTTCAAATCCGTGCAGAACTACAGCTGCACTAAGACAGCTCCCCTTTTTTTAATTATTTTAATAAGATTTTCTCCTCTATCACTCTATTAGAACTAACTATTCCCTTCCCTGGACACAACTCAAATAGTGTCTATTTATCATATAACAACGTATCACTATTTCTTTACAGTTTCCAAAATAGATGTATTGCTGTCATTTTGATACATACTCTGGTTTCCAGGCAGTACAAGAGGTGATTAGCCTAATGGAGCACTATTGTATATATTACCTTTTTTTCTCTCACTATAGAGAGAATTTACCTTTTCACGATAGCATTCACCCCTTAACCCCTTAAGGAACAAACTTCTGGAATAAAAGGGAATCATGTCATGTCACACATGTCGTGTCCTTAAGGGGTTAAAGGGTGGAAAGTCATTTTCTTTCTCTCTTTTTAATGAAAGAAATAAAATAAGTTTTAAGCATTATTTTTTTCCATCATCTATTTGTATAGACTCTTTTTGTGGGCTATTTCTGCATTTACAAATTAACGTTGGGAGTTCGGAGTTCAGCCTCTCTCCCTTGGGAAGTCTCCAGTACATGGCCCTGCGCAAAAGTGACCCCCTGGAGAAACCCCTTTAGTGACCGGGGGTTCTGAACTTGCAGTGACTCGAGGGGTAGCAAGATGATATGCCATAGCCCTTTACACTGCACTGACCCAAGGGGTAGCAGTTGGCTGCCAAATTTGGAATCATATACAAAGAGCATTCTTATGGAACACTGGAAACGATCAGACAGTCGGTTTACCCATTGTCCTTTCTCACAGATATTTCTCTCAAGCAGAGCAGCTTTCGGCTCAGTTTGGGGTAGGTTATCATCATTTTCTTTCCTAAGCTTGGAATGCTCAGGATGAATGCACTGGCGTTCGTGCCATCTGGCGTGCGGGCTCTAGCATTTAATTAGTAGGGTGCACGCGTGAGGTGTTCGTTCCTGTTCGCGCCTGCGCATTAGTTTTTTCTTCACAAACACGAGGGTGCAAACATTAACTTGCACCAGTACTTACAGCATGCGCAAGGTCCAGTTCGCGCATGCGCATTCATTCCAGTTGCACAATGACATCAGGCGCATATTCAAAGTGCCAAAACTCAATTTTCTTTGGAATTCATTCCATGGATGGTGATAGCAGAGACTCATTCAACCTATCTACTTACACTAATTTCATCCAGAGTCTTCATTTAAGGTAATTTATTCTTAAAGAAACACCTTTTTCTGTAAATGATTTCTTGTTCAGAACTTCAATTTGAGATTCTTCATTTCTATAGATGGATACAGAAAGGTCGAGCTCCAGGTATTCGGATTCCTCTTCTCAACACAAAAGGTCACAATCTAAGCCGTATAGGTAAGCCATGTTCTTTCATCATTTATTATGGTTTTATAATGGACAAATAAAAGAGCGCAGAGTTCTAATATATTTATATAGTTCTAAAGGTATCAGAACTTCAGGATCATTCAAAGGGAAATCACCCAGATGGACGCAATGTGAATCCTGTGATAATAGAGCCCATCTCAACCCACGCCAGACATCATGCAATATATCAAACAAGCTTTCACTCAAGGCATAAAAGAAGCTGGGAAAGTTTGCAAAGCGCAGAGGTATTCGGAACCTTCAGATTATTCTCCAGATGACTCAGAGGAGGAGTATATGGATACAGCACCCCTGAAAGACCTAGCCTCTTCATCGGAGGAGGATACACTACCAGCTCCAGACTTTTTGGAACCAACGGAGGTCGATCATTCAATATCCAGAGTTCATAAAGCCCTCACCTTGAAATAATCTCCTAAAGAGGAACCTTCCACATCCAGTCATCATTTCTCTGACCTCAGGAGAAAAAGGGCTACTTTCCCAGTACACGAAACTATAGGAGACCTTATTAAAGAGGAGTGGTCCAGATCGGACAGGAGATCATCCACTGTGAAGGATTTCCCACAACCCGTTCGGTTGTCTCCACTCCCTGCTATTTTATTCCCTGGATTATTTCGTTTACTTTTTCATTGTTCGGTAAAACATTCATTTTACTGAACGGAGACCACCCTGGGTACCAATTAGAACGTGGAACACTGAGTAACTATACAAAAACCACAAGTTAATTGAATGCTCCTAGGTGGCCACCAGTTCGTGCATATGAACGCAC